CATAGTTAATAGAGGGAATGGTTATGAAACCCGACAAAGTTCTTTGTTGTATGTTTTTGTTCTCTTTTTTGGCCTTGACCCTGCACAAAACACAATAGTTGTTTACTCCGTACTGAGGAACTAACCAATAGAAACGTGCTGGTTACGTAATTCATGCATAACGTATGAACGCAAAACAAAAGATTGTGCAGGGTCGTGGACCTTCTAACATAAATCTTGGCATCTTTGTTTGCTCCTTTGATGTTTGCCGGGCTTCATAACCAGTCACCTCCATTAACTATGATTGGTTACAGTGACTGCTTCGGCAAGGAAGCCTTAAAACACTTATAGATTCACCAATCAACTGAAATCTTAAAAAAATGATACAAAAAGCAAACAAATTTACCACAAACGTTTTTTATTCAATGAATACTCCCTTGCAAACATCCAAATATAAGGTAAACACACTTAGTAATAAACACGCTTATGAAATTCTACATGTGTCAGATTTACCTTTAATTATTACCAAAGTTAACCGCAGAGTCACACACGAATAATGATAACAATGATTGAAAAAATCTAATAATGTAAATATCTGTACACATAAATTAAAATGAAAACTAAAGTACGACACATCAACTGTAAGAAATATAACAACTAGCTTCATTTTCATCGCCCTTAGTTATTAACCTTAGGGAGCGTCCTCGCGCGTGCGTGTATTCCAAGTTTCTCCACTCACCCTACACGAAAAAAACGACGCCTGCTACACAGGCTGCTTCTTACACCTCTAACAGAAAAAAGCTTTTCACTTTCCAATTAGCTTTTACAACTTCTTTCACACCATATATGATTGTGTTTACATTGGACAGCTACGTGGCTCCAGTCCCTCGTGAAGGTTATGTCCATATACATTTAAGTCTACTAATGTTTGTGAACCCATACAAACCTATAGTTTGCACCTGTCCACCCTAAGACAAATATTCATCCGTTTGTGATCGTATTCCATATAGCCTGTGTACAGCCACCCCCTCCCCTCAGAATAAATCGGAGAAGGGACGTCTGTGATTTATCGTTGCTCGTTGCTAACAGTGAACTGAGACCAAGTGATTTTTTTTTCTCGGAATGTGTGGAAAATGATTTGATTGGCTGTTACTCGTAGATCTCGTAGAAAACTACACTCATGTAGCTATTCAGATCCAGGCACTTCGGAGAAAACCAAAGAAACTAAAATCTTTATTGAAAGGTTTTTAGTCGTATATTAAAAGCTTTATGCTGTAAGAGAGCTCAAAGAAAATCAGTGCTAAACTGCAACCGAGATCAAATCCCTTCTCCGTTCACAGGGGAGGTGCAAGCTGTACACAGGCTAATTACATATTGTAGGTTATTCACACCGATTGCACGTTAACGATTGTCCCTCCACGTGTAACCGGAGGCCGTAAACTCATTTGTTTGTATGGCGTAAGACATTGTATTGAGTTTACTGAAATAAATTGAGAAAGTAACTTCTTTTACTTATCCAAACAAAATAGGAAGAGCATCAACAGGATTTTTTTTTAGAACATGGGATCTTGATCAGAATCACAAAGCTGTTCTTGTCTATTTTGGTCATGCACTTTTTTTCCATCAGAACCGAGTCTCATTTTTGGGTTCCAGTTACTTAAGTATAATTATGGTTTTCCCATCGATGGTCTCAACTAACGCTTCTACTACTAAAATGCAAGACAATACTATTTCTAAAAATTATCCTGGTTTGAAATGTCTCAATACTTTATGAATAAGAAATTAAAAAGACTGCCAAAACTAATTATGATTGTCAATTAATGTTAAAACAAAAATTCGAAGATAGATTCAGTGATTATTCATCTCAAATAACCCTGTCAAGTCCCTTTCTACCCCCTCGAGAACCTCGACGGCTTCGGGGAAAACAGTTTAATAATATTCTTGTGGTCACAAAAGATTCCCTGCCGTAATTGAGCTTTGATCGAATCGATGAAATATCTTTTTCTAAGAATATTCTTCAATTGTTCTATATATAGTGGCTAAAGATATTCTCATTTTCGAATCAATGCTTTATGGATTTTACTATTTTTCTACGAGAACTTGACCACATTACCAATTGAACAGTGCTTATGGTAAAAAAAATCTCGCTTGATTTGACACGGATTAAACCCATTCAGTATTCAACAGTTGTCAAATCTGGAGACTTTTTGTTCATTCAAACTTTTAACTTAAGATTGTTAAAATTAAATAAACAAAATAATTGCAAAACGCAAAAATTAAGTTCTTGTAAGAACTTAAAGTTTTGTTACTCACTAAAATTTCACTACTGCCCGGATACAAATTATCCGCAGAAAGCGGAAATAGAGGATCAAGGGAATAGAGCGCTATTGTTCCATACAAGCCCTGTTTCTTTTCTTTTCTTTTTTTTCAGACAATTCTCAAATTTCGGCACTCTATAGACCATAAGGAGAATGAGTGCCAGCTCTCCACCCAAAGATTTCTGGGATTGTTTGTGTAGACCTTATGAGCAATGATTGGTTAATGGCCGCCTCCGAATACCATCGACCAATCATAACTATGAACCATATATAGAGCGTTTTCACGTCATGTCCGCCATATAGGGTGACGTCACGGCGGCCATATTGGTGTTCCAAAACAATGAAACGGCGGCCATGTTGGTGTCACAAACCAGTTCTTTAGGAGTTGAACTTTTTTATGTAAAAAAATTCGTTTGTTCCGATAAATTCACATAACTGCTGACCACATGGGTGATCACGCTAAATAGCTTGTCTACTCAGACCATCCCAACAATCATTACGGCTTCGCCAAAATTTTGCACCCATTCTCCTTGTATCATCACGGACGTCTCATCTTCTGTTTGAATAAAGTTATCTAAAGTTGTTTTTCTGGTTATGATACAAGTTTTTGGCTATTTATACGCTGTTCTAAATTTTGCGAGATGACGATTAACTTGAATGAAAATCGGTTCAAACATACCAAAACTGGGGATCCTATTGCGGAAACATCAAACCAAGAAAAACAATTTGCTTGTACATATAGCTATTCACAAGAATTGTAAAAAAGAAAAGTCCTAATATTCAGGAATATTTCAAGGAAAAGAAAGATCTCTGCTAATATACACAACTAATCTTGAGAAGGATAGACAATATTCAAACAGAAGATGTTAGCCAGGGTACCAAAATATATTAATAAATGCACGATGATAGTATGAGATTGATCTAAAGACAAACGGAGGCCGTTACAAGGCTAGGGCAAGTATGAAAACAACACTCTGTTTCCTTGATCTCCTCTTGACAATTTTTTTTTTTTTTGTCCAGCTAATTACCTTTCAGCTTTCAAAGGCACATCAAAACCCAAAAATGTGTTATTCAGGAATTCCAGCATTTCGAATTTTGAGCCGGCCATTTGACGGCTGACTTTGATAAAATCATTTACAACTCTCTAGAGCTTGATATATCCTCCTGACCACAATTTAAATTAGCGTAAACATAGATAAATTCATGGTGCGTGTTCATTACATTTTTTCGTCGTATTTACTGGTTCTACATTCTATGTGAAGTTTTCTATTAGTAGAATACAACAAAATTTTACAATATAACGGCACCCATTTTATATCCTTAACATATTTTATCCTTAAGTACAACTTGCAGTTGTATGTCGTTGCAGTGACCAGCATCAAATTATTTAATTTCGTAAAGTATCACCGCTAAATCAAACGCTGAATCATGATAATAAATGAAACGACCAAATTTTCCTCATTATAGTATCCTAAGAAATGTTGGGGATTATTATTATTATTATTATTATTATTATTATTGTTATTATTAATTCTTCCTAAACCATGACTAACCATCTCCATCTATATCCTATTCACTTTCAATTACTAAATTAACGAGAAATTTTGTCAAAAGAATGCTTACATTTTAGCTGAAATTTGACTCATTTCCTCAAAGTGTCGGTCAAGTGGAATGTAAAACCCCAATAGGCCATTTCCAAGTCGCTGCAAGCCTGGTTTTGAAAGTGAGGATTCTCAGAACTTAGAGCCTGCCAATTGGGTATTTTTCAGTGTCTCATGGGATTACATTCCATTGATCATTCGCGCAGCACGCTTCATATTCTCTTCGCGTTTCAGTAAATCTTCAATTTTCTTGGCTTGGTCATCGTTTCTACAGATGGACACAAACCTGGCATCCTTGAGTCGCGATCGGCTGCGCATATGCTCGAGAGCCTGGGTTGAGCCTGAGGGATTCATAACAACTACCAGCTGACATCCTGGTAGATCCAGGCCCTCCTCGGACACATTTGTGGCTACGACAACTTGGCAATATCCGTCGCCAATTTGAGATATTAACTCCCTCTGCTTAAGGATTGCCAGTTCCGAAACTAAAAAAAAAAGACAAAAAGAAAATTAAATAGAAACTTTTACATTAATAACATTTTATAACCCTTCACCACTCCATCGCAGAATCAAAGCCACGCGAAGCGATTATTTACAGACCTTACAAGATAACTTTGCCGCACTGTTCCTGACGATTGTTTTTGCAGTTAATACAACGTGCTAAAGTTAGGGAGGGTAAATCTAGTGATCTCTCTTAAAGTCTGACGATGGTAAAGTGTTCTCGCCTCTGTAGGATAGCGTATCTTGTTAGGTTGAGAAAGACCTGACCTTTAAATGCGTGAAATGAGCAGGAGAAATGAGTCACTGTTTTCAAAACTTCTATTGTTTTTTCATTCAGCATCCCCAGCCCTAATGGGGAATGGAGTCTGGGAACAGGGGGTTCCAAACCTCCCGCCTTATGTGCCTTGCATTCCCAACTCCCGCCCCTTTTTTCTTGGTATCCTCCCTTCATCCCTTTTTCGATTGCGAAATATTAGCCATTGTTACATAATTTCCCTCTGTTTCTCCCTCTTCCTGCCCTTTTAGAACTATCATCTCCCACCCTTTCCGGTCTCGTCTCCAGTACCCCTCCCGCCCCCTATTCTCCCGAATTCCCAAACCCCTGCCCTCCTACCGGCCCTACCCTTCCTCATTACATGAAAAAAAAAATCTTTTGGCGTAATCACAAAGCCATCAAACCGAGCAGCCTTACCTTCTTCATGTGGTTCGTGACCATAGCCAACAAGACACGTGGTGTGAACATTGTTCATTAAGAGCTCTCGACAGTTCGACAAGCATTGTGCCAGGTACCGAGCAGTACGACGGCGATTGACCAGAACCAAAACACAACCGTTGATCCAGCTACATGGCCCGGACCAGTTACTCTTTAACAAAAGCTTGATAAGTTCGTCTACACCCGAAGCAAAGTCATCAAATTCTGAATCCCATGATGCACCTTGTTAAAATGAAATAGTATCTTAGCATTTTTACGTTCATTCATATTTACGTAGCAGAAACGCTTCACGGATTAGTTCCTAAAGTTAACTAACGATGACGAATTGTCCTTCTTTTTATTGCTGTGGCAGTAATTGTTCTGTTATTATTAGCCATTAATTGCCATTGTGTAACACAGTCTCTTAACGAATATTGGTCTTAGAAGGGGTTTCTCTACCATGAAACTGAGATTCCCACCAACAGATGACCAAATTCGCAAGATATTCAATTGTCGCTCTCTTCAAAAATTAGGCTAGTAGCCTCTCTTCCAGGCTAGTAGCTTAATCTTTTAATTCTTCTTACTTACCGAATTGTACTATTACTTATGTAACAATATTAGTCCTTACATGTAAACCCGCAAATGATTAGAAGAATGAAACTTACTCTGGGTCATAATAGCTTCCAAATGCATCCAGATTTTGCTGCAATCCAGCCCCATCTTTTCTGCCCAGTGGAATCCATGGGGACACCCTTCAACGGTTAGTTCCTGTAAGTGATTCAACGCTATTTTCTCTCCACACTCAAGGAGCGCGCAAACCGTCTCGCATACGAGTTGAAAATGGAGCAGTGAGCTTAAGGCATTCGATTCTGGGCGCGAACAAACAATATTGTCTATGACACGAAGAACAGGGTGGATATCATCGATGCTGAAGAGGCCACCAGATGAAGGCTGGAAGATGTCTTTGTAATCCTTCATCTCACTCAGTCGTACAGCTAAATTGAAAGCCTTAGTAATGTACTCCATTAAAATCTCCATCAGCTTTTTCTCGGAATGTGTGTATGAAGTTGAGATACATTCAGGTGAGGCCTTACTTGTTTTTTCTTCCAATTCCTCGACCCACTCTGTCACTGTCAAAAGCTTAGCGTCGCCCAAGTTTCCCAGAAGTCGTTGTAATTTCTTCGTTGTTTTATCCAGGGAAATCTCCCCGGCTGGCGAGGCAGTCATTCCCAGGACTTTAGGTCGGTGCCCCAGTAAATCGTCCTCTCGAAAATAGAAGTCCCGTATGATGACGTTGTAAGGATGGTCTTTGTTACAATGATGAGCTTCATCGAGAACTATCAGCGAGACATCCTCAAATCGAAGTGTTCCGTTGTTTAGATGATTTCTGTAGCAATCGGCTGTAATGATAAGTACATCTTGCTCATAGACTCTTGCATTTCCTTCCAGTTTTCTCATCTCGCCGCAAACGGCACCAATGCGAATAGGCCGAGTACCGTTAAAAGAGTTAGAACTGTCCTCGTCTGGCATTCGAACATGCGCCAACTCCTTTCTTAGGTAATCACTTTGCTGTAGTACGAGAAGAACTCGATCAACAAGGAAAATAACTTGGCGAGATGGATTCAACATGAGCATCCGCTCAATAACCAGCGCCGCTACTAGTGCGTTTCCACTTCCGCTGGGAAGGAAGAAAACCGCGTTGGTCCTCATTGCCTTGCTGTACAACTCAAACTGATACCTGTAAGGCTTTGATTTTGTTTCGCTTTGCAAGGTTTCTTCGTCTGAGGTGGTGATTAATGGCAAATGCGGCTTAGGCGGTGCTTTTTGGGACTTTGCCACTGTCTGTTCATGTCTACCACTGCTGAAATGTTCCTTGGCCTGTGATTCAGAATTAAGATGCACCTTGCAATATTCACAAAACTTCTTGTAGGGAACTGCATTGATCTTAGCAATTTTGTTTTGATGTTTTGTGCTTCTTAGATGCTCTTCGAACTGCGCCTCGGATATGATTGGAATTCGACACAATTTACAATAGTGCGATGCATTTCTTTCACCAGGACTGGAGAAGCTGCCATTGGTTTTCACCCACGGCCTCAAATTATCTACAGCCTGCGTTCCTTTGCGTGGTCTGTTTTCGGACGCATTAAATGAATGCCTTCGAGGACGTTCAGGTATGTCTTCGTAGTTGCCTCTAAGCCTGAACAATTTATCTTGTTTTCTTTCTGCGCCAATCACACCCGGTCCGCCATTGCTCTGATGAGGACACCGCTGACAGATATTCCAAAGAGGTGGGTTTCCATTACTGATGTGTACAATCCCTTTTCTGTTTAGTTGATAGAGACAATTGTTTACTTGGCCTTTTGTTTCCGGCCCGACGGATGCCATAATTTCAGAACTTGTCATGGGTCCATTATTTTGCAGGGTAAGCCAAATAATTTTCATGTCGTCCAAACTAGGCTCATCATTCAAAGATGTTTCTGATGGACTAAAAAAGTTGTGATTCCATCCATTGAAACAGAATTTAGATTCGTGTTTACTCTCACCCGCTACCTGGAAGTGTCGGACACAATTTTCGGGATTGGTCCTCGGTCTTGGTATTCTTTCCCGAAAATGGTGTTCCGTGCCCTGTTTCGATTCAGGAAAGGACCTGCTTCGGCCATTTCTCTGGTACTGATCAACTGTTCCAACTGAAGAGATATGAGAAATAGATGCTGGTGGACTTACTGAGCTTTGACAAAGTAAGTCTCTGTCATCAAACATAGCCCTAGACGATGATCTCATCCAAATTACACCGTTTACCATTTCCTCCTGGGTAAATGAAGAATCACTTGTGTTCACTGAGGCTTCAGAATGCAGGGGCAGCACAGGCGTCTTCTTATGTTCTGGTGCCTAAACGTGAACGTTAACAAGTGAAGGTTAGGATACATATCCCTATAAACTAAATCTTAATTTAAATCTCTCTCTCTCTTTTATATGTAAAGTCGCTAAAGTTGTACTCTGAAGTAAATCCCTGACAATAATAACTTTTCTTTGAACGACTTTCATCGTTTGTCTAAATTAAAGGACTAAATGTCACCCCTACAGAAAAGAAAATCCATATTAATATGATTTACAGGCGATTCATATGATATATTCCTGATCCTGTTGCTCGTGATCGCTTATTTTGGGGAAGTAATAAGACAAAAAAGGACTGCGCGTGATCTGCGCTCGTTCCCATCATCCCCGCTCGCCGCGCTGCTCGACTCTCTCGTCTCCAGCACCCCGCGTTTAAAGTCCGTACTCCCAACACAGCGCTAACCTAAGGAAAGCCTATGTAATAGACCGTTTTCACTTACATGGCCAGCATCTATTCAAATTTATTACAACAAAAGCAAGTGTTCACATAAGAAAAGAGTTCAACTCCCACAAGGGTGGTTTGGAACGCCAACATGGCCGCTGTTTCGTTGTTTTGAAGCACCAATATGGCCGCTGTGAAGTCATGTGAAAACGCTCCACATACAGATTGTTATTCGAAAGCAACCTCAATGACCGTAGTTTTAATTAGAATTTGGTTTTAAATCGCTCAAATGAGAGAAATCCTAAATGCTTAAAGCCTCAAACCGACAAAACAACAACCTACCTTTCTGCTATAGATCGCCCGGTAATGGTTTGAAGAAGATGAATCACTAAACGAACGTATCCTAGAGGATTGCGAGGGAATCTTCGGTCTGCCATGTCCTACTGTCTTCTCGGGTCTTGTGTCGCTTTTTAATGTGCTGTAAAACCCATTGCAGGTTGTATTCAGGTTGTACTCTGCACGGTAGCCGTTCAAAGAGGCACCAGAGTTAAAGCCATTGCTGTAACCATTCATCAACGTGGCAAAGTGGTATCCATTCTTAGGAGAAGGATTGGAGTCATATCGGAAGGATTCAGGCATTACGTACGGTGCTGAAAAATTTAATGTAGGAAATTAAAATAAAAATGTAGCATGTATTTTCTTGTCAGCATCAATACCGGTGCAAAAAAGCAGTAAGAAAATCCAAGGAAGTTCACGATGGCTAAAACTTACAAATTATAAACCGCAAAAGCTGGTATAAGAAAGCGACTGAAAGTCATTTGTAAGAAAGGTTATTATAATTGCTTGATCGATCAGGACAATTCGATTCGGGGTTCTGAGCTTCGGTTGAATTGTGCAAAATAATTGACCACAGATGTAGTTGAGAATGATGATTAAGACAGGAAACATGTTTGGATTAAAGTTACAGTTTTCCCTGACAATAAAACATATCAGCTCGATCTTTGCAGAAACAACAAAAGTAGTAATGAATCGCAATAATTTATGCGTGCATGCATGCTAAGATAAGCTCTGTCTGCTGTCTCAGCCTTGCGTCTAACAATAAATTTTACATTCAAGAATTGGCGAGCCACGAACTAAAATCTCTGACTTGAGTGAAGGATAATTTGTCATATATCTAAATTTATTACTCTTGTTACCAGTTGTTAAAGAAAGCTCGAAAAGGGAAGTGACTAAGAACAAGTAGCTCAATACTGACATGCCAAGACTTGAGTCTTGGTCTCTGTTCTGAGTTCTTCGGATCCGAAAAGAATTTTATCAGAACGTCCAACTAAGTTTCGATCGGTACGGATCTAATCGAGAGAGATACAGATCATAATTGATCTCCCATTAATAGCACAGACAAGTCGAAAGCGGAAGTGAAGAAGTACGTAGTTACTATCATGAGGCTAATTTCCAAACTAATCGAAACCAAATGTTTTACTAAAATACATCGAACGTACCGTAACCTTACCTAAACACCGTTTTCCTTTTTTCGGGCAGGCGGTTCGAAACCTTTACCATACCAATTATAACTAGCTTGGAAGCATCACATCGAAAACGAAAAGTCTTCGCAGTTTGAATGGATGCGTAAACACCTCAATCTTTTGATCACGTGACTAGTCACGTTTTTAAACCGAAAGCCCCACTCGCACCTTCCCTTCTCATTAGAGTTTCTTCTTAGAAATTTACTGTATCAGAAAAGTCTATAAACGTAACTTTAAGGTTAAAGAACTACAGTTGTTTCGTTTTTTATCGTTGTTTCACTTCGTTCATTCAGTTAGAGAAAAAACGGAAATTCAGCTTTTAATCGCGGCGATTCCCGGAAGCCTTACTTCTATGAATTGTTTACAAGCTACTAGAAAAAGATAGATTGAAGATCTGCCCAGAAGGCTGTATTCACCTTGAACATAAGTCGCTAATTTGATGAAAATTATTTTTTAGTAAAAATGATTGAGGTTCCTTGAACATGACATCAAAAGACTTAACTATTTTTTCACCTAAATATTCCAAGTAACTAAAGAAAGGAGGGAAAAAGCAACCTAGCAATTTAAGGGGAATTGTTCATAACATTTTTGTCCTGAAATAATGACTAATATTCTGCGAAAAATTTCCTAAACGGTTAAAAGTTTAAGTTTTTCAATACATCGTTAGAGTCTCTTAAAACAGTTTAAAATCCTGACTGACTGACTGACTGA